CGCACCGAATGGGCGGGGCGAAAGTCTGAAGTCACGATACGGTCCTGAGCTAGCTCGGAGACTGAGAAGAAGCGGATAGAACTAGCGGGAAGGGCAACTCAAATGTTCGTGATCTATATGGCTGAATTTGGAAATTCTCTCCGCATCGCTCTATATCGCTGCACAACTGTATTGCGCGCGCAACAGCGTGCGGCAGCTATAGTATTTCAATACACCTTTTCAGCTGATGGTATTGCACTAGGAAGTGCTTCAACAATTAACAAATCAGATGTACAGCTCATAGTTTTCGTCGCTATAATGTTGCACAAGGTAATGTATAGATAAGTTCTTTGTTTCACTCATTTTTCACTATTTTTTTTACATAAGTCATGCTGCATGAAAAGTACTACATGTGAAATTCGTTATTCAAATGTAAATATGACTTTGGGGGCTATTGCGAATCTATATTCCTAAAATCGTTGGAGGGTGCTGTAGTTTTTCTATCCAATTCGTATGTACCCTAATTTAGAAAATGTTTTTGCACATACGGTAGCCTTTGTTTTCGAATCCGTTCTTGAGAGCGGGTTTTTGAGTATGTATTACAGTATCCGACTAGCAGAGATTGTTTCTCATCAGTTCTCAAATTTTAGGCTCCAGCAGCATTCGGCCTAGTTTCTTTTCTGCTTATGGAAGGGATCGATGTGCGAAGCGCTCGAAAACATCTCCTCGTCTTCAGCTTAGCCGCCCCTTTCGCTGCTATTGTAACGTTTGCTGTTGTTGAGAGTGTAAGTGAAGAGCAATCGTCATTACTGCTTTTTTGACTTGTTTTAGGTCTCAATCGGGCCAGTTTTTCAAAATGTTTGTGGCTTTGTGACCATAGAGTGACTGAAGGGGATCCTGTTACAAGTTGAATATTGAAAATGGGGCCTGAGTACAAATGCGGTACCATGAAAATCTGTTCTTACAGCTAGTCACCATTTAAGGGGGAATGGTGCTGGTATTCTGAAGCCCATGATGCTGTTCACCCAATTTCCAGGGGGACGGACTTTTGGCTCGTCCGGGCTGTCACGCGGCAAATCGCGCGGCGGGCTGCGCGGCGATCCGTACGAGGCAGATCTTCGCGGGCTTCTGCAGTGGCGATCCGGTACGAGGCCAGATGCTTTCGCGGGCTGTTTGCAGTCAAACCGTCAAAGGTGGTGACAGATCAGCCGCAATGGCTGCTGCGAAATTGTAGGCTCTTGAATTACATGCCAACGCATGAGGAGATATAGAAAGGCGGTGATAGTATGGAAACTTTAGTAGGAAGGGTGGGGAGGGTAGGGGATACATTCAAGTGAGGTGAGCCAATTGCTGGAATTGGAAGAAGAGCAACTTAACCTTTGGGAGCGGAAGGGATTCTGGGGGAGGATGTGAGCAATTTGTGTTCTTTCCGAAATTACTCCCTCCCTGGCCGGCTGAAGGCCACCATCACTGTCTTTTTCTCTTTGTTTTTAACATTATGATTATTGGTTACGTGATCTTTTGTTCATGTGGCCGGGTTAATTTTTTCCAGTGGTATAATAAGAAAGGTTCGGATGCCCCCCCTGAGGACAGTCAGCAAAGCATTCATAATTGGTAATAGATAAGTCAATCTCAGTAAAAATTTCTAATTTTGGTGCTTCTCATTCGCTTTGATATAATTCCCATGAAGGTTCTCTCTCATCTCTTTTGCTGACATCACCGCTGCTTCAAATCTCCGCAAATGTTATTTCAAACTGTAGAATCATCATTTATCCGCAAGCTGCACACTCTTTGACGTGTTCAATTCTGCTGCAGAACCCGCGAAGCCTTGTCTCACAGGAATCGCCGCGCACTTTGCCGCGTGCACATTGGACGAGCCAAAAGTCCCGCACCCCAGTTTCCACCCTAAGGGTATAATCGCCTCTTCGCAGGCGATAGCGTGAGGTGTGGAGTAATATGGTGTAGCATCAATATTGTAGTACCAAGTGTGACCACTTTTTTGTTTGGGAATTGAAGCTTACACTGGGTTCAAAGTCTTGAGTTGGCCACTCTTTTGGGGCACTCGAATTGAACAGGTTTTCGTGTGTTCAATTTTCATAATTGATGACGTGCTTCTTAGGTCTTAAGTGCTGAGCAAAACGCAAATGCCAATTTGGAACGGCTCCACATAGCTTCTGTTGGTTTCTGTGATTATGAATTCATTATGTTCTCTCAATCATCTATGGTTTCCAGCTAGGCCGTGATTCGGTATGGTCTTCCGAATCATCAACTGGAGTGCTCATGCTGTTCTCAGCAGGGACATTTCTTTTTGTCGCTACGGTTCATGTACTGCCAGAGCTGGTAAGTATGAGTCCTCTCTTGTTGCACGGATGGTTAAGATTTTGCTTTCATTTATGTTTGATTCATTTAGGTCTTGCCCCTCGTGTTTCACACATTTCTGCGGTATTCTTGAATCCGAGAACGTTGTTTGATTTTGCATGTCGGGCTACGAGTTAGGTGATTTATCAATAAACTTTGTTTGGCTATGCACACTGACGCATGCGTTAAACGGTGATCGAATACTGAACAGCGTGACCGAATTCGACTCCGGTGGTGCCCTGCGTCAGGGACTCCCTCCACACTGAAAGACTGAATCATTTCTTCTTCGCCCGGTCCCATTAGCTGTTCAACTTCCGACACGTTTCTCGCGAACCACGAACTTAGAATGTCTGGGCACGCTTTGCGTCACTTTGGCCGCACGCCTCGGCGGCAGAAGTTATACGATAATACAGAGGTTTTGTAAAGGAAAGAAGAAAAAGCCGCATATTTGAGGATTTCATCGACATTGTAGGCTAGCATCAGCTCACCTCAATTATGATAAGTGCATTCTAGACTTTTTTCTACATCAGTTTTTTTCTGCTCTATATGCTCTATACGGTGTAGTGGCAAGTGGCACGCTCACCACGCGAGCGGTCCGGGATCAATCCTGGGTCGTGAGTCGCCCGGGCCAACCAAGCCTTCCATCCCTCCGGGGTCGGTTAATTGGTACCAGACTTGTCTGGGAGGATAAAAACACTGACTTGAACATCGGCTGGCCCCCGCAAGTCATTGTATAGGCCACATCGCATTCAAACGCCACTGCGAATGTACAAATGGAAGTAGAATGCGTGCCGCATCCCAAAAAGGGATTGATCAACGGCAAATGCTTTATCCTTTATAGGCTTGCTTATACTGAGTAGCAATTACTTTATTGCGCTGCCCATTTGAATAACGCTTACCTTTTGTGGGTGGACTCCTTATTCGACCTGAGAATTCGATTGCTTACTTTCACCTATTTTTCCCAATTTGATGTTTTTGAATCGAATTCGAAATTTTTGTTCGTCGGCACCATCCATTTCGAAGACCCATTGGGACATGGTTCCGATTGGCTCGTTCCATCTATTCTGAACGTTACCTGCACATGCAAATGGTTCTTCAGGTAGTAACGAATTTCGTGGCAGACACACACTCGCAGACAGTGTTTTGCATATTTGTAGTGGAGTACGGCGACGGTGTTTCAATTTATTTCCCATTTCAGGAACTCTAGCCCTTATGTTTTCTTGCTTTCCTATTTCTGCTTTACCTGTTTTTATGTTTATTATTTCTTAGGCTAATCGTGCTAAGTCGCAGAAGGATTACATGTTAGTTGTGGATGCGCAGTCTCCGGCAACCGCGGGTCATTCCCACTCAGGTTCCTTTTGCTTCTACTTTTTCTTTTTCTGGAATCTTGTTAGCAATATTTCAAAAAGGTAGTTTCGGATTGCTACAGTGATAGAAGACACAGTCCATGTTACTATTGGGATGGAAAAAATCCCCGAACAAGCTCAACTTCCTACAGAATTTTTTTATGAATAGGAGAAGAGATCTGAGATTTGCTAAATCTGTGCTTTTTAAATAGCACTAAAGCTATTTTTGAGAAAAAGCTCTATCGAAAAAAAGCATACCGTGACGACAGCGTGGTGTCATAGGGTAACGTACCTTGTAAGACCGCGTGGGAACCTGAGGTGAACCGCCTCTTCTTCAGCTCTGGACAAGGTCATTATGGTAGGCGTGCGCAGTCGATCCCAACGCGCCAGCTCAGGGCTAGCGCCAAAATTGAGCTCGCTTTCTTGCCGGCAGCACCAGCGTTGTCGTCGACAGCGGAAAGCGGCCTGCGGATGAAGCGTGCAGTGCGGTTTAGAGAACATCTAGCTTTTTTCGACTAGAGCTTTTTTGCTCATTTTCAAAACGCAAAAGTAGCACTGCATCAACGCTTGCCCACGAGCTACTCGGTGACAGAATCGCTGAGTGTGCCTAATCCCATGCCGTGCCTTCAGTTGACATTCGAATTGAAGGTTTGTACTTACCAAAAAGTGGCTGCTTCAGATCAGCGTATGGCATAGGTCGAGGGATCGAGAATTTTATTTCTTAGCGTAATTCTTGCTTGGAATAGTACGTGAAACTAACTGCGCTCCTCTTCCGAATAGTGTCTGCTAACAGACGTGAAGCCCATGTCGGACAGCGGAACATCGTTCGGAAGTTG